ACGTGAGGCTGCCACCCTCCGTGACGACATCGCCGCCCTCACTGACACCATGCGTGACTTGGCGGTGAGGGACAATCTTCTGTGTGGATGTGACGATGATGATGGTGGTGATGGTGGTGGTGATGGTGTGGGTGGTGTTGGGGGTGGTGATGGTGATGTTGATGATGATGGTGGTGATGGTACAGGAAGTGACACGTGAGGCTGCCACCCTCCGTGACGACATCGCCGCCCTCACTGACACCATGCGTGACCTAGCGGTGAGGGACAATCTTCTGTGTGGATGTGGTGATGATGATGGTGGTGATGATGATGATGGTGGTGATGGTGATGATGATGGTGATGATGGTGATGGTGATGATGATGGTGATGATGAAACAGGAAGTGACACGTGAGGCTGCCACCCTCCGTGATGACATCGCCGCCCTCACTGACACCATGCGTGACCTAGCGGTGAGGGACAATCTTTTGTGTGGATGTGGTGATGATGATGGTGGTGATGGTGGTGATGGTGTGGGTGGTGTTGGGGGTGGTGATGGTGATGATGGCGGTGATGATGAAACAGGAAGTGACACGTGAGGCTGCCACCCTGCGTGACGACATCGCCGCCCTCACTGACACCATGCGTGACCTAGCGGTGAGAGACAATCTTCTGTGTGGATGTGACGATGTTGGTGATGATGATGATGTTGGTGATGGCGGTGATGATGGTGATGTTGATGATGGTGATGGTGATGATACAGGAAGTGACACGTGAGGCTGCCACCCTGCGTGACGACATCGCCGCCCTCACTGACACCATGCGTGACCTAGCGGTGAGGGACAATCTTCTGTGTGGATGTGACGATGATGGTGATGATGATGGTGGTGATGGTGATGATGGTGGTGATGATGGTGATGGTGATGATGGCGGTGATGGTGATGGTGATGATGGTGATGATGAAACAGGAAGTGACACGTGAGGCTGCCACTCTCCGTGACGACATCGCCGCCCTCACTGACACCATGCGTGACCTAGCGGTGAGGGACAATCTTCTGTGTGGATGTGACGATGATGATGGTGAAGTTGGTGATGATGACGGTGATGGTGATGGCGGTGATGATGAAACAGGAAGTGACACGTGAGGCTGCCACCCTGCGTGACGACATCGCTGCCCTCACTGACACCATGCGTGACCTAGCGGTGAGGGACAATCTTCTGTGTGGATGTGACGATGTTGGTGATGATGGTGGTGATGGCGGTGATGATGGTGATGGTGGTGATGATGGTGATGGTGGTGATGATGAAACAGGAAGTGACACGTGAGGCTGCCACCCTGCGTGACGACATCGCCGCCCTCACTGACACCATGCGTGACCTAGCAGTGAGGGACAATCTTCTGTGTGGATGTGACGATGATGATGGTGATGATGGTGATGATGATGGTGGTGGTGATGATGATGGTGATGATGGTGATGGTGATCATGGCGGTGATGATGAAACAGGAAGTGACACGTGAGGCTGCCACCCTGCGTGACGACATCGCCGCCCTCACTGACACCATGCGTGACCTAGCGGTGAGGGACAATCTTCTGTGTGGATGTGACGATGATGATGATGATGATGGTGGTGATGGTGATGGTGGTGGTGATGGTGATGGTGGTGGTGGTGATGGTGATGATGAAACAGGAAGTGACACGTGAGGCTGCCACCCTGCGTGACGACATCGCCGCCCTCACTGACACCATGCGTGACTTGGCGGTGAGGGACAATCTTCTGTGTGGATGTGACGATGATGATGGTGGTGATGGTGGTGGTGATGGTGTGGGTGGTGTTGGGGGTGGTGATGGTGGTGGCGGTGATGGTGATGAAACAGGAAGTGACACGTGAGGCTGCCACCCTCCGTGACGACATCGCCGCCCTCACTGACACCATGCGTGACCTAGCGGTGAGGGACAATCTTCTGTGTGGATGTGACGATGATGGTGATGATGATGGTGGTGATGGCGGTGATGATGGTGATGGTGGTGATGGTGGTGATGGTGGTGATGATGAAACAGGAAGTGACACGTGAGGCTGCCACCCTCCGTGACGACATCGCCGCCCTCACTGACACCATGCGTGACCTAGCGGTGAGGGACAATCTTCTGTGTGGATGTGACGATGATGGTGATGATGATGGTGGTGATGGCGGTGATGATGGTGATGGTGGTGATGGTGGTGATGGTGGTGATGATGAAACAGGAAGTGACACGTGAGGCTGCCACCCTCCGTGACGACATCGCCGCCCTCACTGACACCATGCGTGACCTAGCGGTGAGGGACAATCTTCTGTGTGGATGTGACGATGATGATGGTGATGATGGTGATGATGATGATGATGGTGGTGGTGATGATGATGGTGATGATGATGATGGTGATGATGGCGATGATGAAACAGGAAGTGACACGTGAGGCTGCCACCCTCCGTGACGACATCGCCGCCCTCACTGACACCATGCGTGACTTGGCGGTGAGGGACAATCTTCTGTGTGGATGTGACGATGATGATGATGATGGTGATGATGATGGTGATGATGATGGTGATGGTGATGATGATGTTGATGATGATGAAACAGGAAGTGACACGTGAGGCTGCCACCCTGCGTGACGACATCGCCGCCCTCACTGACACCATGCGTGACCTAGCGGTGAGGGACAATCTTCTGTGTGGATGTGACGATGATGATGGTGGTGATGGTGGTGATGATGAAACAGGAAGTGACACGTGAGGCTGCCACCCTGCGTGACGACATCGCCGCCCTCACTGACACCATGCGTGACTTGGCGGTGAGGGACAATCTTCTGTGTGGATGTGACGATGATGATGGTGGTGGTGATGGTGTGGGTGGTGTTGGGGGTGGTGATGGTGGTGGCGGTGATGGTGATGAAACAGGAAGTGACACGTGAGGCTGCCACCCTCCGTGACGACATCGCCGCCCTCACTGACACCATGCGTGACCTAGCGGTGAGGGACAATCTTCTGTGTGGATGTGACGATGATGATGATGGTGATGATGTTGGTGATGGCGGTGATGATGGTGATGATGATGGTGATGATGAAACAGGAAGTGACACGTGAGGCTGCCACCCTCCGTGACGACATCGCCGCCCTCACTGACACCATGCGTGACCTAGCGGTGAGGGACAATCTTCTGTGTGGATGTGACGATGATGGTGATGATGATGGTGGTGATGGCGGTGATGATGGTGATGGTGGTGATGGTGGTGATGGTGGTGATGATGAAACAGGAAGTGACACGTGAGGCTGCCACCCTCCGTGACGACATCGCCGCCCTCACTGACACCATGCGTGACCTAGCGGTGAGGGACAATCTTCTGTGTGGATGTGACGATGATGATGGTGATGATGGTGATGATGATGATGATGGTGGTGGTGATGATGATGGTGATGATGATGATGGTGATGATGGCGATGATGAAACAGGAAGTGACACGTGAGGCTGCCACCCTGCGTGACGACATCGCCGCCCTCACTGACACCATGCGTGACTTGGCGGTGAGGGACAATCTTCTGTGTGGATGTGACGATGATGATGATGGTGATGATGATGGTGATGATGATGGTGATGGTGATGATGATGTTGATGATGATGAAACAGGAAGTGACACGTGAGGCTGCCACCCTGCGTGACGACATCGCCGCCCTCACTGACACCATGCGTGACCTAGCGGTGAGGGACAATCTTCTGTGTGGATGTGACGATGATGATGGTGGTGATGGTGGTGATGATGAAACAGGAAGTGACACGTGAGGCTGCCACCCTGCGTGACGACATCGCCGCCCTCACTGACACCATGCGTGACTTGGCGGTGAGGGACAATCTTCTGTGTGGATGTGACGATGGTGATGGTGGTGATGATGGCGGTGATGATGATGGTGATGATGATGATGATGGCGATGATGAAACAGGAAGTGACACGTGAGGCTGCCACCCTGCGTGACGACATCGCCGCCCTCACTGACACCATGCGTGACTTGGCGGTGAGGGACAATCTTCTGTGTGGATGTGATGATGTTGTTGGTGATGGTGATGATGATGATGGTGGTGATGGTGATGATGATGGTGATGTTGATGATGGTGATGTTGATGATGATGGTGATGAAACAGGAAGTGACACGTGAGGCTGCCACCCTGCGTGACGACATCGCCGCCCTCACTGACACCATGCGTGACCTAGCGGTGAGGGACAATCTTCTGTGTGGATGTGACGATGTTGGTGATGGTGGTGGTGATGGTGATGGTGGTGATGATGGCGATGATGGCGGTGATGGCGGTGATGGTGATGATGGCGGTGATGGTACAGGAAGTGACACGTGAGGCTGCCACCCTGCGTGACGACATCGCCGCCCTCACTGACACCATGCGTGACCTAGCGGTGAGGGACAATCTTCTGTGTGGATGTGACGGTGTTGGTGATGGTGATGATGTTGGTGATGGTGGTGATGATGGTGATGGTGATGATGGTGATGATGAAACAGGAAGTGACACGTGAGGCTGCCACCCTGCGTGACGACATCGCCGCCCTCACTGACACCATGCGTGACTTGGCGGTGAGGGACAATCTTCTGTGTGGATGTGACGATGATGGTGATGGTGATGATGATGATGGTGATGATGGTGATGATGAAACAGGAAGTGACACGTGAGGCTGCCACTCTCCGTGACGACATCGCCACCCTCACTGACACCATGCGTGACTTGGCGGTGAGGGACAATCTTCTGTGTGGATGTGACGATGATGATGGTGGTGATGGTGGTGGTGATGGTGTGGGTGGTGTTGGGGGTGGTGATGGTGATGGTGATGATGATGGTGATGATGAAACAGGAAGTGACACGTGAGGCTGCCACCCTGCGTGACGACATGGCCGCCCTCACTGACACCATGCGTGACCTAGCGGTGAGAGACAATCTTCTGTGTGGATGTGACGGTGTTGGTGATGGTGATGATGGTGATGATGGTGATGGCGGTGATGATGATGAAACAGGAAGTGACACGTGAGGCTGCCACCCTGCGTGACGACATCGCCGCCCTCACTGACACCATGCGTGACTTGGCGGTGAGGGACAATCTTCTGTGTGGATGCGACGGTGTTGGTGATGATGGCGATGATGGTGGTGGTGATGATGGTGATGATGATGATGATACAGGAAGTGACACGTGAGGCTGCCACCCTCCGTGACGACATCGCCGCCCTCACTGACACCATGCGTGACCTAGCAGTGAGGGACAATCTTCTGCGTGACTCCAAGCGGCGTCTGGACGAGCGGCGACGACTCCGTGCGGCGCTCCAGCGGAACATCCAGCTCAAGGAGAGCACGTAAAGTGGGCTGGGGGGCGTTAGAACGTCACGTGACTGGGGGGGTGTTAGAACGTCACGTGGGGGTGTTAGAACGTCACGTGACTAGGGGGGTGTTAGAACGTCACGTGGGGGTGTTAGAACGTGACTAGGGGGTGTTAGAACGTCACGTGACTAGGGGGTGTTAGAACGTGACTAGGGGGTGTTAGAACGTCACGTGACTGGGGGGTGTTAGAACGTCACGTGACTGGGGGGTGTTTGAACGTCACGTGACTAGGGGGGTGTTAGAACGTCACGTGGGGGTGTTAGAACGTCACGTGGGGGTGTTAGAACGTGACTAGGGGGTGTTAGAACGTCACGTGACTGGGGGGTGTTTGAACGTCACGTGGGGGTGTTAGATCGTGACGTGACTGGGGGGTGTTAGAACGTCACGTGACTGGGGGGTGTTAGAATGTCACGTGACTAGGGGGTGTTAGAATGTCACGTGACTAGGGGGTGTTAGAACGTCACGTGGGGGTGTTAGAACGTCACGTGGAGGTGTTAGAACGTCACGTGACTGGGGGGGTGTTAGAACGTCACGTGACTGGGGGGTGTTAGAACGTCACGTGACTGGGGGGTGTTAGAACGTCACGTGACTAGGGGGTGTTAGAACGTCACGTGGGGGTGTTAGAACGTCACGTGGGTGTGTTAGAACGTCACGTGACTAGGGGGTGTTAGAACGTCACGTGACTAGGGGGTGTTAGAACGTCACGTGACTAGGGGGTGTTAGAACGTCACGTGGGGGTGTTAGAACGTCACGTGGGGGTGTTAGAACGTCACGTGACTGGGGGGTGTTAGAACGTCACGTGGGGGTGTTAGAACGTGACGTGACTGGGGGGTGTTAGAACGTCACGTGACTAGGGGGTGTTAGAACGTCACGTGACTGGGGGGTGTTAGAACGTCACGTGACTAGGGGGTGTTAGAACGTCACGTGGGGGTGTTAGAACGTGACGTGACTGGGGGGTGTTAGAACGTCACGTGACTAGGGGGTGTTAGAACGTCACGTGACTAGGGGGTGTTAGAACGTCACGTGACGTGGGGGGTGTTAGAACGTCACGTGGAGGTGTTAGAACGTCACGTGGGGGTGTTAGAACGTCACGTGGGGGTGTTAGAACGTCACCTGGGGGTGTTAGAACGTCACGTGACTAGGGGGTGTTAGAACGTCACGTGACTAGGGGGTGTTAGAACGTCACGTGACTGGGGGGTGTTAGAACGTCACGTGGGGGTGTTAGAACGTCACGTGGGGGTGTTAGAACGTCACGTGGGGGGTGTTAGAACGTCACGTGGGGGGTGTTAGAACGTCACGTGGGGGGTGTTAGAACGTCACGTGACTAGGGGGTGTTAGAACGTCACGTGACTAGGGGGTGTTAGAACGTCACGTGGGGGGTGTTAGAACGTCACGTGGGGGTGTTAGAACGTCACGTGACTAGGGGGTGTTAGAACGTCACGTGGGGGTGTTAGAACGTGACGTGGTGTGTTTGTCCTGGCCTACCCCCTCTGTGTCTCAGTGTCTGTGTGTGTCTGTCTGTGTGTCTGTCTGTGTCTGTGTGTGTGTCTGTATGTGTCTCTCTGTGTGTCTGTATGTGTCTGTCTGTGTGTATGTGTGTCTTCGTGTGTCTCTCTGTGTGCCTGTCTGTGTGTCTGTGTGTGTCTCTCTGTGTGTCTCTCTGTGTGTCTGTCTGTGTGTGTGTGTCTCTGTGTGTGTGTCTCTGTGTGTGTCTGTGTGTGTGTGTGTCTGTCTGTGTGTGTGTGTGTCTGTCTGTGTGTGTCTCTGTGTGTGTGTCTATGTGTGTCTCTGTGTGTGAAACAGTTTGCGTGTGTGTCTTTGTGTGTGTCTCTGTGTGTGTGTCTCTGTCTCTGTGTCTCTGTGTGTGACTGTGTGTCTGTGTGTGTGTGTGTCTGTGTGTGTGTGTCTGTGTCGCTGTGTGTGTCTGTATGTCTGTGTGTGTGTGTCTCTGTGTGTGTGTGTGTCTGTGTGTGTCTCTGTGTGTGTGTGTCTCTGTGTCTGTGTGTGTCTCTGTGTGTGTGTGAAACACTGTCTGCGTGTGTGTCTGTGTGTCTGTCTGTGTGTGTTTGTGTCTCTGTGTCTGTGTGTGTGTCTCTGTGTGTGTGTGTCTCTGTGTGTGTGTGAGACACTGTCTGCGTGTGTGTCTTTGTGTGTCTGTCTTTGTGTATGTGTGTGTGTCTGTGTGTGTGTGTGTCTCTGTGTGTGTCTCTGTGTCTGTGTGTGTCTCTGTGTGTGTCTCTGTGTGTCTGTCTCTGTGTGTGTGTGTCTCTGTCTGTGTGTGTGTGTCTCTGTGTGTGTCTCTGTGTCTGTGTGTCTCTGTGTGTGTCTCTGTGTGTCTGTCTCTGTGTGTGTGTGTGTCTCTGTGTGTGTCTCTGTGTCTGTGTGTGTCTCTGTGTGTGTCTCTGTGTGTCTGTCTCTGTGTGTGTGTGTGTGTCTCTGTGTGTGTCTCTGTGTCTGTGTGTGTCTCTGTGTGTCTCTGTGTGTGTCTGTGTCTGTGTGTGTGTGTGTCTCTCTGTGTGTCTGTGTGTCTGTGTCTGTGTGTGTGTGTCTGTGTGTGTCTCTGTGTGTGTGTGTGTGTCTCTCTGTGTCTGTGTGTGTCTCTGTGTGTCTGTGTGTGTCTCTCTGTGTGTGTGTCTGTGTCTGCGTGGTCCCGGCCATCAGCCCCTTCTGCGTCAGCTGCTCGTGAACAGCACTTGCCCCTCCAGTGTGGTAAGGCTACACGGGGTGGGATCTTTGTCTTTGTGTGCTCAGCATTGTCGCTCTGCGTGACCGATCGGTGTCCCTGGATGAAGAGTTGGCGGCCTCCAATCGGAGAGTCTTCAAGCTCCACACAGATGCAGCGCGCATCCTGCGAAAGTTTGCCGACTCCCTCCAGGTACGCGGACAGATACTCACTCACTCAGACACTCACTCACTCAGACACTCACTCATTCACTCACTCACTCAGACACTCACTCATACACTCACTCACTCATACACTCACTCACTCATACACTCACTCACTCATACAATCACTCATACACTCACTCACTCATACACTCATTCACTCACTCATACACTTACTCACTCAGACACTCACTCACTCAGACACTCACTCACTCACTCATACACTCACTCAGACACTCACTCACTCATACACTCACTCATACACTCACTCATACACTCACTCACTCATACACTCACTCACTCACTCATACACTCACTCAGACACTCACTCATACACTCACTCATACACTCACTCATACACTCACTCATACACTCACTCACTCATACACTCACTCACTCAGACACTCACTCATACACTCACTCACTCATACACTCACTCATACACTCACACACTCACTCATACATACAGTCACTCATACACTCACTCACTCATACACTCACTCACTCATACACTCACTCATACACTCACTCATACACTCACTCATACACTCACTCACTCATACACTCACTCAGACACTCACTCACTCAGACACTCACTCACTCAGACACTCACTCATACACTCACTCATACACTCACTCACTCATACACTCACTCATACACTCACTCAGACACTCACTCACTCAGACACTCACTCACTCATACACTCACTCATACACTCACTCATACACTCACTCATACACTCACTCATACACTCACTCACTCATACACTCACTCACTCATACACTCACTCACTCATACACTCACTCATACACTCACTCATACACTCACTCACTCACTCATACACTCACTCATACACTCGCTCATACATTCACTCACTCACACACTCGCTCATACACTCAGTCATTCACACACTCGCTTACTCACTCATACACTGACTCACTTAGACACTCACTGTGTATGAGTGAGTGAGTGTATGAGTGTGTGTATGAGTGAGTGAGTGAGTGTATGAGTGAGTGAGTGTATGAGTGAGTGTATGAGTGAGTGACCACCATCACCACCATCATCACTATCATCACCACTACCATACACTCACTCACTCATACACTCACTCACTCATACACTCACTCACTCATACACTCACTCACTCATACATTCACTCACTCATACACTCACTCATACATTCACTCACTCATACATTCACTCACTCATACACTCACTCATACACTCACTCACTCATACACACACTCATACACTCACTCATTCATACACAGTGAGTGTCTAAGTGAGTCAGTGTATGAGTGAGTAAGCGAGTGTGTGAATGACTGAGTGTATGAGCGAGTGTGTGAGTGAGTGAATGTATGAGCGAGTGTGTGAGTGAGTGTATGAGTGAGTGAGTGTATGAGTGAGTGAGTGTGTGAGTGAGTGAGTGTATGAGTGTGTGAGTGTATGAGTGAGTGTATGAGTGAGTGAGTGTATGAGTGAGTGGTTGAGTGGGTGGTTGAGTGGGTGAGTGGGTGGGTGAATGGGTGGGTGGGTGTGTGGGTGAGTGAGTGTGTGGGTAAGTGAGTGAGTGGGTGGGTGGGTGAGTGAGTGGGTGTATGATTGTGTGAGTGAGTGTATGAGTGAGTGTATGAGTGAGTGTATGGATGAGTGAGTGAGTGATGGTGGTGATGGTGGTGATGGTAGTGATAATGGTGGTGATGGTGGTGACGATGGTGACGGTGGTGATGGTGTTGATGGTGGTGATGGTAGTGATGATGGTGATGGTGGTGATGGTAGTGGTGATGATAGTGATGATGGTGGTGATGGTGGTGATGATGGTGATGGTGGTGACGATGGTGATGATGGTGATGGTGGTGATGATGGTGATGGTGGTGATGGTGGTGATGGTAGTGATGGTGGTGATGGTGATGGTAGTGATGATGGTGATGATGATGGTGATGGAGGTGATGGTGGTGATGATGGTGGTGATGTTGATGATGGTGGTGATGGTGATGATGATGGTGATGATGATGGTGGTGATGATGATGGTGATGATGATGGTGGTGATAATGATGGTGGTGATGGTAGTGATGGTGATGATGGTGGTGATGGTGGTGTTGATGATGATGATGGTAGTGATGATGGTGGTGATAGTGTTGATGGTGGTGATGGTGGTGATGATGATGGTGATGATGGTGATGATGGTAGTGATGATGATGATGGTGATGATGCTGATGGTGATGATGATGATGGTAGTGTTGGTGATGATGGTGTTGATGGTGTTGGGGGTGGTGATGTTGGTGATGATGTTGGTGATGATACAGGAAGTGACACGTGAGGTGATGTCACACCACAGGTCCTGCTGACGCTGCAGCAGGAGGTGGTGATGATGATGGTGATGGTAGTGATGGTGGTGGTGATGATGATGGTGGTGATGGTGATGATGGTGGTGGTGATGATGATGGTGGTGATGGTGATGATGGTGATGGTGATGTTGATGGTGTTGATGGTGGTGATGGTAGTGATGATGTTGGTGGTGATGGTGGTGATGGTGGTGATGGTGGTGATGATGATGATGGTAGTGATGGTGATGATGGTAGTGATGGTGATGATGGTAGTGATGGTAGTGATGATGGTGATGGTGGTGATGGTGGTGATGATGATGATGGTAGTGATGGTGATGATGGTAGTGATGGTAGTGATGATGATGATGGTGGTGATGATGATGATGGTGATGGTAGTGATGATGATGATGTCACACCACAGGTCCTGCTGACGCTGCAGAAGGAGGTGGTGATGATGGAGCTGCAGATTGCTGAGCTCGCTCAGAGCCACGCCGCATTCAACGCCTCCCTCGCTGAGAGCACGAAGAGCCTGCAGGCCGCTCGGGTGACAACATCACCACCACCATCACCACCATCATCACCATCAACATCACCTTCACCACCATCACCACCATCACCATCAACATCACCATCACCACCATCATCATCAACATCACCACCATCATCACCACCATCATCACCATCATCACCACCATCATCACCACCATCATCACCACCATCATCACAATCATCACCATCACCACCATCACCATCATCACCATCACCACCATCATCACCACCATCATCACCACCATCATCACCACCATCATCACCACCATCACCACCATCATCACCACCATCATCACCACCATCATCATCAACATCACAATCATCACCATCACCACCATCACCATCATCACCATCACCACCATCACCATCACCACCATCACCATCATCACCATCACCACCATCACCACCATCACCACCATCACCATCATCACCATCAACATCACCACCATCATCACCACCATCATCATCAACATCACCATCATCACCACCATCATCATCACCATCATCATCACCACCATCATCACAATCATCACCACCATCATCATCACAATCATCACCACCATCATCATCACCTTCATCACAACCACCATCACCATCATCACCACCATCACCACCATCATCACCATCATCACCACCATCATCATCACCTTCATCACCATCACCATCACCACCATCATCACCATCATCATCACCACCATCACCATCACCACCATCATCACCATCATCACCACCACCATCATCACCACCATCATCACCACCATCATCATCAACATCACCATCATCACCACCATCATCACCACCATCACCACCATCACCACCATCACCATCATCACCATCATCACAATCACCATCAACATCACCTTCACCACCATCACCATCACAACCATCATCACCATCACCACCATCACCACCACCATCACCACCATCATCACAATCATCACCACCATCACCACCATCACCACCATCAACATCAACATCACCATCATCATCACCATCAACATCATCACCATCAACATCACCACCATCACCATCACCATCATCACCATCATCATCACCATCATCACCATCATCACCACCACCATCATCACCATCAACATCATCACCATCACCATCATCAACATCAACATCACCATCACAACCACCATCAACATCATCACCATCAACATCACCACCATCACCATCACCACCATCATCACCATCATCACCATCATCATCACCATCATCACCATCATCACCACCACCATCATCACCATCAACATCACCATCACCACCATCATCAACATCACCATCAACATCACCATCATCACCATCATCATCATCACCATCATCATCACCACCATCACCATCATCACCATCACCATCATCATCACCACCATCACCATCATCACCACCATCACCATCACCACCATCACCATCATCACCACCATCACCATCATCACCACCATCATCACCATCACCATCATCACCATCATCATCACCATCATCATCACCATCACCATCACAACCACCATCACCATCATCATCACCATCACAACCACCATCATCATCATCACCTTCACCATCACCATCATCATCACAACCACCATCACCATCATCATCACCTTCACCATCACCATCATCATCATCACCTTCACCATCACCATCATCACCATCATCACCACCATCATCACCATCATCACCATCACCACCATCACCATCACCAGCATCATCACCATCATCATCATCACCAGCATCATCACCATCACCACCATCATCACCAGCATCATCACCACCATCACCACCATCACCAGCATCATCACCACCATCACCATCATCACCACCATCATCACCACCATCACAACCACCATCACCATCATCACCACCATCATCACCACCATCACAACCACCATCACCATCATCACCATCATCACCACCATCACCACCATCATCATCATCACCATCAACATCATCATCACCATCATCACCATCATCACCATCACCACCATCACCAGCATCATCACCATCACCACCATCACCAACATCATCACCATCACCACCATCACCATCACCAGCATCATCACCATCATCATCATCACAACCACCATCATCATCATCACCATCACCACCATCACCATCATCACCATCACCAGCATCATCACCATCATCATCACCAGCATCATCACCATCATCATCACCATCATCACCACCATCATCATCACCATCATCACCATCATCATCATCACCACCATCATCACCATCACCACCATCATCATCATCATCACCACCATCACCATCATCACCAGCACCATCACCATCACCACCATCACCATCATCACCAGCATCATCACCACCATCACCACCATCACCAGCATCATCACTATCACCACCATCACCACCATCACCATCATCACCACCATCATCACCGCCACCATCACCACCACCGTCACCACCATCATCACCACCACCATCACAACCATCATCTCCCCCGTGTCTCCCCCGTGTCTCACCCCGTGTCTCCCCCGTGCCTCCCCGTGTCTGCCCGTGTCTTTCCGTGTCTCCCCCCTGTCTCCCCCGTGTCTCCCCCGTGTCTCTCTGTGTCTCCCCGTGTCTCCCCTGTGTCTCCCCGTGTCTCCCCTGTGTCTCCCCTGTGTCTCCCCTGTGTCTCCCCGTGTCTCCCCGTGTTTCCCACATCTCCCCGTGTCTCCGTGTCACCCCGTGTCTCCCCCCGTGTCTCCCCCCTGTCTCCCCCGTGTCTCCCCCTTGTCTCCCCGTGTCACCCCGTGTCTCTCCCCCCGTGTCTCCCCGTGTCTCTCTGTCTCTCCCCGTGTCTCCCCGTGTCTCCCCGTGTCTCCCCGTGTCTCCCCCGTGTCTCCCCGTGTCTCCCCCCTGTCTCCCCCCTGTCTCCCCCCTGTCTCCCCCTTGTCTCCCCGTGTCACCCCGTGTCTCTCCCCCCGTGTCTCCCCGTGTCTCTCTGTCTTTCCCCGTGTCTCCCCGTGTCTCCCCGTGTCTCTCCCCCCGTGTCTCCCCGTGTCTCTCTGTCTCTCCCCGTGTCTCCCCGTGTCTCCCCGTGTCTCCCCGTGTCTCCCCCGTGTCTCCCCGTGTCTCCTCCCTGTCTCCCCCGTGTCTCCCCGTGTCTCCCCCTTGTCTCCCCGTGTCACCCCGTGTCTCCCCCCGTGTCTCTCCCCCCGTGTCTCCCCCTTGTCTCCCCGTGTCTCTCCCCGTGTCTCCCCCGTGTCTCCCCGTGTCTCTCCCCGTGTCTCCCCCTGTCTCCCCGTGTCTCCCCGTGTCTCCCCGTGTCTCCCCGTGTCTCCAGGCCGAGCTGCTGAAGCTCCAGAACGAGAAGAGAAGTCTCTACAAAGTCTGTAGAGACTTGCTGCTCATGTCCACATCTCCCCGTGTCTCCCCGTGTCTCTCCCCCCGTGTCTCCCCGTGTCTCCCCGTGTCTCCCCGTGTCACCCCGTGTCTCCCCGTGTCTCCCCGTGTCTCCCCGTGTCTCCCCGTGTCTCTGTCTCTCCCCCCGTGTCTCCAGGCCGAGCTGCTGAAGCTACAGAACGAGAAGAGAAGTCTCTACAAAGTCTGTAGAGACTTGCTGCTCATGTCCACATCTCCCTGTGTCTCCCCGTGTCTCCCCGTGTCTCCCCGTGTCTCTCTGTCTCTCCCCGTGTCTCTGTCTCTCCCCCCGTGTCTCCAGGCCGAGCTGCTGAAGCTCCAGAATGAGAAGAGAAGTCTCTACAAAGTCTGTAGAGACTTGCTGCTCATGTCCACATCTCCTCGTGTCACCCCGTGTCTCCCCGTGTCTCCCCGTGTCTCCCCGTGTCTCCCCGTGTCTCCAGGCCGAGCTGTTGAAGCTCCAGAACGAGAAGAGAAGTCTCTACAAAGTCTGTAGAGACTTGCTGCTCATGTCCACATCTCCTCGTGTCACCCCGTGTCTCCCCGTGTCTCCCCGTGTCTCCCCGTGTCTCCCCGTGTCTCCAGGCCGAGCTGTTGAAGCTCCAGAACGAGAAGAGAAGTCTCTACAAAGTCTGTAGAGACTTGCTGCTCATGTCCACATCTCCTCGTGTCACCCCGTGTCTCCCCGTGTCTCCCCGTGTCTCCCCGTGTCTCCCCGTGTCTCCAGGCCGAGCTGTTGAAGCTCCAGAATGATAAGAGAAGTCTCTACAAAGTCTGTAGAGACTTGCTGCTCAAGTCCAAGGAGGTTTGCGGCCTCGGTCCGGATGACGAAGCTCCACCCGAGATGCAGCAGGTGACAGCATCATCATCATCATCAGTATCATCATCATCATCATGAGTATCATCATCATCAGTATCATCATCATCAGTATCATCATCAGTAGTGTCATCATCATCAGTAGTGTCATCATCATCATCAGTAGTGTCATCATCAGTATCATCATCATTATCATCATCAGTATCATCATCAGCATCATCATCAGTATCATCATCATCATCAGTATCATCATCATCAGCATCATCATCATCAGTATCATCAGCATCATCATCAGTATCATCATCATCAGTAGTAGCATCATCATCATCATCATCAGTATCATCATCATCAGTATCATCATCATCATCATCAGTAGTAGTGTCATCATCAGCATCATCATCATCATCAGTAGTGTCATCATCATCAGTATCATCATCATCAGCATCATCATCATCAGTAGTAGTGTCATCATCATCATCAGTATCATCATCAGTAGTGTCATCATCAGTATCATCATCATCAGTAGTGTCATCATCATCAGTAGTGTCATCATCATCAGTAGTGTCATCATCAGTAGTGTCATCATCATCGGTAGTGTCATCATCATCATCAGTAGTGTCATCATCAGTAGTGTCATCATCATCAGTAGTGTCATCATCAGTAGCAGCATCATCATCAGTAGTGTCATCATCATCAGCATCATCATCAGTATCAGCATCATCAGTAGTGTCATCATCATCAGCATCATCATCAGTATCAGCATCATCAGTAGTGTCATCATCATCAGTAGCGTCATCATCAGTAGTGTCATCATCAGTAGTGTCATCAGTATCATCATCAGTATCATCATCAGCAGCATCAGTAGTGTCATCATCATCAGTAGTGTCATCATCATTATCATCATCAGTATCATCATCATCAGTATCATCAGCATCATCATCAGTAGTGTCATCATCATCAGTAGTGTCATCATCATTATCATCATCAGTATCATCATCAGTATCATCATCATCATCAGTAGTAGTGTCATCATCATCATCAGTATCATCATCATCAGTAGTGTCATCATCATCAGTATCATCATCATCAGTAGTGTCATCATCAGTAGTGTCATCATCATCAGTAGTGTCATCATCAGTAGTGTCATCATCAGTAGTGTCATCATCATCATCAGTAGTGTCATCATCATCATCAGTAGTGTCATCATCATCAGTAGTGTCATCATCAGTAGTGTCATCATCATCAGTAGTGTCATCATCATCATCAGTAGTGTCATCATCAGTAGTGTCATCATCATCAGTAGTGTCATCATCATCATCAGTAGCAGCATCATCATCATCAGTAGTGTCATCATCATCAGCATCATCATCAGTATCAGCATCATCAGTAGTGCCATCATCATCAGCATCATCATCAGTATCAGCATCATCAGTAGTGTCATCATCATCATCAGTAGCGTCATCATCAGTAGTGTCATCATCAGTGTCATCAGTATCATCATCAGTATCATCATCAGCAGCATCAGTAGTGTCATCATCATCATCAGTATCATCATCAGTAGTGTCATCATCAGTATCATCATCAGCATCATCATCATCATCAGTAGTGTCATCATCATCATCAGCATCACCATCAGTATCATCATCATCAGCATCATCAGTATCATTATCATCAGTAGTGTCATCATCAGTAGTGTCATCATCATCAGTAGTGTCATCATCATCATCAGTAGCAGCATGATCATCATCAGTAGTGTCATCATCATCAGCATCATCAGTATCAGCATCATCAGTAGTGTCATCATCATCATCATCAGTAGCGTCATCATCAGTAGTGTCATCATCAGTAGTGTCATCGTCATCAGTAGTGTCATCATCATCATCAGTAGTGTCATCATCAGTAGTGTCATCATCATCAGTAGTGTCATCATCATCATCAGTAGCAGCATCATCATCATCAGTAGTGTCATCATCATCAGCATCATCATCAGTATCAGCATCATCAGTAGTGCCATCATCATCAGCATCATTATCAGTATCAGCATCATCAGTAGTGTCATCATCATCATCAGTAGCGTCATCATCAGTAGTGTCATCATCAGTGTCATCAGTATCATCATCAGTATCATCATCAGCAGCATCAGTAGTGTCATCATCATCATCAGTATCATCATCAGTAGTGTCATCATCAGTATCATCATCAGCATCATCATCATCATCAGTAGTGTCATCATCATCATCAGCATCACCATCAGTATCATCATCATCAGCATCATCAGTATCATTATCATCAGTAGTGTCATCATCAGTAGTGTCATCATCATCAGTAGTGTCATCATTATCATCAGTAGCAGCATCATCATCATCAGTAGTGTCATCATCATCAGCATCATCAGTATCAGCATCATCAGTAGTGTCATCATCATCATCAGTAGCGTCATCATCAGTAGTGTCATCATCAGTAGTGTCATCAGTATCATCATCAGTATCATCAGCAGCATCAGTAGTGTCATCATCATCAGTAGTGTCATCATCATTATCATCATCAGTATCATCATCATCATCAGTATCATCAGCATCATCATCAGTAGTGTCATCATCATCAGTAGTGTCATCATCATTATCATCATCAGTATCATCATCATCAGTATCATCATCAGCATCATCATCATCAGTAGTGTCATCATCATCATCATCAGTGTCATCATCATCAGTATTATCATCATCATCAGTGTCATCATCATCATCAGTAGTGTCATCATCATCAGTAGCCTCATCATCATCATCAGTAGTGTCATCAGTAGCGTCATCATCATCATCAGTATCGTCATCAGTATCATCATCATCAGTAGCGTCATCATCAGTAGTGTCATCATCATCATTAGTGTCATCATCATCATCAGTAGTGTCATCATCAGTAGTGTCATCATCATCAGTAGTGTCATCAGTAGAGTCATCATCATCAGTAGTAGTGTAATCATCATCAGTAGCAGCATCATCAGTAGTGTCATCATCATCATCAGCAGTAGCAGCATCATCATCATCAGTAGTAGTGTCATCATCATCAGTAGTGTCATCATCATCATCAGCAGTAGCAGCATCATCATCATCAGTAGTAGTGTCATCATCATCAGTAGTGTCATCATCATCAGTAGCAGCATCATCAGCATCATCATCAGTAGCATCATCATCAGCATCATCATCAGTAGTGTCATCATCATCAGTAGTAGCGCCATCATCAGTAGCAGCATCATCATCAGCAGTAGCAGCATCATCATCATCATCAGTAGTGTCATCATCATCATCATCAGTAGTGTCATCATCATCAGTAGCAGCATCATCATCATCAGTAGTAGCAGCATCATCAGCAGTAGTAGCATCATCAGCAGTAGCAGCATCATCATCAGTAGCATCATCATCAGTAGTATCATCATCAGTAGTAGTAGCATCATCATCATCAGTATCATCATCATCAGTATCATCAGTATCAGTATCATCATCAGTATCATCATCATCATCATCAGTATCATCATCAGTAGCAGCAGCATCATCATCATCAGTAGCAGCATCATCATCAGTAGCAGCATCATCATCAGTAGCAGCATCATCAGTAGCATCATCATCAGTACTTTCATCATCAGTAGTAGTAGCATCATCATCATCAGTATCATCATCAGAATCATCATCATTGGTAGCAGCATCATCATCATCAGTAGTAGCATCATCAGTAGTATCATCTGTATCATCATCATCAGTAGCATCATCATCAGTAGCATCATCATCAGTAGTAGCATCATTATCAGTAGTAGCATCATCATTATCAGTAGGAGTATCATCAGTAGATGATGTTGACGATGATGATGTAGGCAATGATGATGTAGATGTTGACGATGTTGACGATGATGATGTTGATGACGATGTAGATGATGATGTTGATGACGATGTAGATGATGATGTTGTTGATGTTGTTGTAGTTGATGATGTTGTTGATGATGTTGATGATGTTGATGATGTTGATGTTGTTGATGATGTTGTTGATGATGTTGATGATGATGATGTTGATGTTGTTGTTGATGATGTTGTTGTTGTTGATGTTGATGATGATGTTGATGATGTTGTTGATGTTGATGATGTTGATGTTGTTGATGATGTTGTTGATGATGTTGATGATGATGTTGATGATGTTGTTGTTGATGTTGATGATGTTGTTGTTGATGATGTTGTTGTTGTTGATGTTGTTGATGATGTTGTTGATGATGTTGATGATGATGTTGATGATGTTGTTGTTGATGATGATGTAGACAATGATGACGTTGTTGATGTAGACAATGACGATGATGATGTAGACAATGATGTTGATGTTGTTGATGTAGACTGATGTTGATGTTGTTGTAGTTGATGTTGTTGATGTTGTTGTAGTTGATGTTGTTGACGTTGTTGTTGACGTTGTTGTTGATGTTGTTGATGTTGACGATGTTGTTGATGTTGTTGTTGATGTTGTTGTTGATGTTGTTGATGTTGTTGTTGTTGACGTTGTTGTTGATGACGTTGTTGTTGATGTTGTTGACGTTGTTGTTGACGTTGTTGTTGATGTTGTTGTTGATGTTGTTGTTGATGCTGCAGGCGTTAGAGGGAGGCCCGGAGACCCTGGATGAGATCGACGCAGCCATCGAAGACGCTCGGACACGTGCATCACTCCTCAACATCAACCCCCAGGTGACGCCTCCACTCACTCACTCATTCATTCATTCACTCACTCATTCACTCATTCATTCACTCATTCACTCACTCACTCATTCACTCACTCATTCATTCATTCGCTCACTCATACACTCACTCATACACTCACTCATACACTCACTCACTCATACACTCACTCATTCATACACTCACTCATTCATTCATTCATTCACTCATTCATACACTCACTCACTCATTCACTCATTCATTCATACACTCACTCACTCACTCATTCATTCACTCATTCATTCACTCACTCACTCATTCACTCATTCATTCACTCACTCACTCATTCACTCATACACTCACTCAGTCACTCACTCATTCATTCATTCACTCATTCATACACTCACTCACTCATTCATTCACTCATTCACTCATTCATTCACTCACTCATTCACTCACTCATTCATTCACTCACTCACTCATTCACTCATTCATTCACTCACTCATTCACTCACTCATTCATTCACTCACTCACTCATTCACTCACTCATTCATTCACTCATTCATTCACTCACTCATTCACTCACTCATTCATACACTCACTCAGTCACTCACTCATTCATTCATACACTCACTCATTCACTCATTCATACACTCACTTACTCACTCATTCACTCAGTCACTCACTCACTCACTCATTCATTCACTCACTCATTCACTCATTTATTCACTCACTCATTCATTCACTCACTCACTCACTCATTCATTCACTCAGTCACTCATTCATTCACTCACTCATTCATTCACACACTCACTCACTCATTCATTCACTCAGTCATTCACTCATTCATTCATACACTCACTCACTCATTCACTCTTTCACTCATTCATTCACTCACTCACTCACTAATTCATTCATACACTCACTCACTCATACACTCACTCATTCACTCACTCATTCATTCATACACTCACTCACTCATACACTCACTCATACACTCACTCACTCACCCACCCCCCCACCACCCACCCACCACCCCCCCCCCCCCCCCCCACCACCCCCCCACCCACCACCCCCCCACCACCCCCCCACCACTGAGATTGCTCTGCAGGTGCTGGAGGAGTTTGAGAATCGCCGCGTGGCCATCGAGGAGCTCCAGGGGGAGGTGGAGACACTGAGACAGACCCTGGGGGAGCAGCAGAGACACTTAGACACGGTGGGACATAGACACACACATAGACACATAGACACACACACATAGACACACACACATAGACACACACACACACACATAGACACACACACATAGACACACACACACAGACAGACCCTGGGGGAGCAGCAGAGACACTTAGACACGGTGGGACATAGACACACATAGACACATAGACACACACACATAGACACACACACACATAGACACACACACATAGACACACACACATAGACACACAGACAGACCCTGGGGGAGCAGCAGAGACACTTAGACACGGTGGGACATAGACACACATAGACACATAGACACACACACACATAGACACACACACATAGACACACACACATAGACACACACACATAGACACACACACACACACACATAGACACACACACATAGACACACACACACAGACAGACCCTGGGGGAGCAGCAGAGACACTTAGACACGGTGGGACATAGACACACATAGACACATAGACACACACACATAGACACACACACACATAGACACACACACATAGACACACAGACAGACCCTGGGGGAGCAGCAGAGACACTTAGACACGGTGGGACATAGACACACATAGACACATAGACACACACACATAGACACACACACACATAGACACACACACATAGACACACACACACACACATAGACACACACACATAGACACACACACAGACAGACCCTGGGGGAGCAGCAGAGACACTTAGACACGGTGGGACATAGACACACATAAACACATAGACACATAGACACACACACATAGACACACACACACATAGACACACACACATAGACACACAGACAGACCCTGGGGGAGCAGCAGAGACACTTAGACACGGTGGGACATAGACACACATAGACACATAGACACACACACATAGACACACACACACATAGACACACACACATAGACACACACACATAGACACACACATAGACACAGACACACACATAGACACACACACATAGACACACACACATAGACACACACACATAGACACACACACATAGACACACACATAGACACACACACATAGACACACACACATAGACACTGAGACAGACCCTGGGGGAGCAGCAGAGACACTTAGACACGGTGGGACATAGACACACACATAGACACATAGACACACACATAGACACACACATAGACACACACACATAGACACACACATAGACACATAGACACACACATAGACACACACACACATAGACACACACACATAGACACACACACATAGACACATAGACACACACATAGACAACAACAACAACAACAACCGCCATTCGCCACTAAGTGGCGGTGACGTCACCACGACGCTTGTGCCAGGCTATGTGCACCCTGAGGCCACGTGAAGTGTCGAACGCCCGCTGGCAGGAGGTCACGGGGCAGACCCAGGTGCCACGGGTCGACTGACTGAGATGACTGGCTGATGCACCACCTGTGCCCCCTACTGTGCCAACCTGCTGTGCTTTAGCCACCCGGCGCTCCGCTCGCTGTTGTGAGCGTCGCTCCTCCGCCCTCCGTTGTTGTTGGAGGGCGACTGCCTCCAACTGCCCAGTAGCATCCTTCACGAGCCTCCTCCACAGAGGCCGATCTTGACACCGCTGGTACCAGTCATCGGCAAGTCCACTCAGCTCCACGTCCTCCTGTACCACGTCACTCCATCTCTTCTCTAGCCCGTGCCGCGCCCGCTTAGCCCCCTCAATCCGGCCAAACAAAAGCTGTTTCGGCATGCGGTGGCTGGGCATGCGGGCTACATGACCCAGCCATCGCAGCCTTGCCTGCCGGAGGAGCTCACCGATGGGACCCTGCCCAGATCTTTCAAGGATTTGTGAGCTCCTCACACAATCCAGTCTGGTTAAACCCAGGATGGATCGTAGGCAGGCCAGCCTAAATGTTTCTAACCGGCGAAGATGTTCCACCAGGGGGGTCCACGTTTCGCAAGCGTAGAGAAGGGAGGGAATGACCGTGGCCGAGAAGACCTGAAGCTTAGTGCGGAGCGACAGACCAGGTAGCTTCCACACAGCGTTACGCAGCCGATGAAAAGATATTGCCGCTCGACTGATTCGGAGTGAGACCTCTGCTGTTAAACTGGAGCCAGTCATAAGCACACTGCCCAGGTATGGGAAACTCTCCACTCTCTCCACCACTGCCCCATCACCGATTGGGAGTTGTGGGGGTGGAGTGTCCGATGGTACAAATACCCAGGCAGGTGCTTAGTTTTGGTGGGGCTGATGGTAAGGCCCCACCTCTTAGTGGCACGCTCCAGTCTCAGCAGCAGCGTCTCCAACTCCTCCTCTGACTGAGCAGCTATTACCAAATCATCAGCATACATAACGTGGTTGAGCAATAGGGAGCCATCCCTTGACCGCACCCGGGCATCGATTAGCCTCCCATTATATCTGTACCATATGGAGATTCCCCCGGTACAGCTATTGAAGGCTTCACGAACTACGTGGTCAAAATAGATGTTAAATAATGTGGGAGCCAGAGGACATCCCTGTCGCACCCCAAGGTGTACAGGGAATGGCTCTGACTCCCGGCCACGTAGTTTTACCCGGGCCCGCTCACCATCATGAAGGTCCTTAATGATCGTGAGCAGAGGGTCAGGTACTCCAAAAGCACGAAGAACGACCCAGAGCCCAGGCCTACTGATGGTATCATAGGCCTTGACCAGGTCAATAAAGCAGAGATGTAGGTCTTGTTGGAATTCCCTACACCTCTGCTGTAGCAGACGGACAGAAAATATGGCATCTGTGCAGGACCGCCCTTTCCTGAAACCGCATTGGGGCTCCGCATTGACACACACACATTGACACACACACATTGACACACACACATTGACACACACATAGACACACACATAGATACACACACACACATTGACACACACACACATAGACACACACACATTGACACACACACATTGACACACACATTGACACACACATAGACACACACATAGATATGATACACATATCTCTGTGTGTGTGTACCTGTGTGTTTGTACCTGTGTGTGTGTATCTGTGTGTGTACGTGTATCTGTGTGTATGTGTATCTGTGTGTGTATCTGTGTGTGTATCTGTGTGTGTGTATCTGTGTCTATATCTGTATGTGTATCTGTGTGTGTATCTGTATGTGTACCTGTGTGTGTGTGTATCTGTGTGTGTGTATCTGTGTCTATATCTGTATGTGTGTATCTGCGTGCATGTGTGTATCTGTGTCTATATCTGTATGTGTATCTGTGTGTGTATCTGTATGTGTACCTGTGTGTGTACCTGTGTGTGTGTGTATCTGTGTGTGTGTCTGTATGTGTACCTCTGTGTGTGTATCTGTGTGTGTATCTGTATGTGTATCTGTGTGTGTGTGTATCTGTGTCTATATCTGTACCTGTGTGTGTATTTGTATGTGTATCTGTGTATGTGTGTGTGAGTACCTGTGTGTGTGTGTATCTGTGTGTGTGTATATCTGTGTCTATATCTGTACCTGTGTGTGTATCTGTATGTGTACCTGTGTGTGTGTGTATCTGTGTCTACATCTGTATCTGCGTGTGTGTATCTGTGTGTGTATCTGTATGTGTACCTGTGTGTGTGTGTATCTGTGTCTATATCTGTGTATCTGTATGTGTATCTGTGTGTGTATCTGTGTGTGTGTGAGTACCTGTGTGTGTGTACCTGTGTATGTGTGTATGTGTATCTGTGTGTGTGTACCTGTGTGTGTGTGTACCTGTGTGTGTATCTGTGTGTGTGTGTACCTGTGTGTGTGTATGTGTGTGTGTACCTGTGTGTGTATCTGTGTATGTGTACCTGTGTGTATGTGTACCTGTGTGTATGTGTATCTGTGTCTATATCTGTATGTGTATCTGTGTATGTGTATCTGTGTGTATGTATCTGTATGTGTGTGTATCTGTATGTGTGTGTGTATCTGTGTGTGTGTATGTGTATCTGTGTGTATCTGTCTGTGTGTGTATCTGTATGTGTACCTCTGTGTGTGTATCTGTGTGTGTATCTGTATGTGTATCTGTGTGTGTGTGTGTATCTGTGTCTATATCTGTATGTGTACCTGTGTGTGTGTGTATCTGTGTCTATATCTGTATGTGTGTGTGTGTATCTGTATGTGTACCTGTGTGTGTGTGTATCTGTGTGTGTATCTGTATGTGTATCTGTGTGTGTGTATCTGTGTCTATATGTGTACGTGTGTGTGTATCTGTGTGTGTATCTGTATGTGTACCTGTGTGTGTGTGTATCTGTGTCTATATCTGTATGTGTATCTGTGTGTGTATCTGTATGTGTATCTGTGTGTGTGTATCTGTGTCTATATCTGTATGTGCGTGTGTATCTGTATGTGTACCTGTGTGTGTGTGTATCTGTGTGTGTATCTGTGTGTGTGTATCTGTGTATATAGCTGTACCTGTGTGTGTATCTGTGTGTGTATCTGTATGTGTACCTGTGTGTGTGTATCTGTGTCTATATCTGTATGTGTACCTGTGTGTGTGTGTATCTGTGTCTATATCTGTATGTGTATCTGTGTGTGTATCTGTATGTGTATCTGTGTGTGTGTGTATCTGTGTCTATATCTGTATGTGCGTGTGTATCTGTATGTGTACCTGTGTGTGTGTATCTGTGTGTGTATCTGTGTGTGTGTATCTGTGTCTATATCTGTACCTGTGTGTGTATCTGTGTGTGTATCTGTATGTGTACCTGTGTGTGTGTATCTGTGTCTATATCTGTATGTGTACCTGTGTGTGTGTGTATCTGTGTCTATATCTGTATGTGTGTGTGTGTATCTGTGTGTGTATCTGTATGTGTACCTGTGTGTGTGTGTATCTGTGTCTATATCTGTGTATCTGTGTGTGTATCTGTGTGTGTATCTGTGTGTGTATCTGTGTGTGTGTATCTGTGTCTATATCTGTATGTGTATCTGTGTGTGTATCTGTGTGTGTGTATCTGTGTCTATATCTGTATGTGTGTGTGTGTATCTGCGTGCATGTGTGTATCTGTGTCTATATCTGTATGTGTATCTGTGTGTGTATCTGTATGTGTACCTGTGTGTGTACCTGTGTGTGTGTATCTGTGTGTGTATCTGTATGTGTACCTCTGTGTGTGTATCTGTATGTGTATCTGTGTGTGTGTGTGTATCTGTGTCTATATCTGTACCTGTGTGTGTATCTGTATGTGTATCTGTGTGTGTGTGTGTATCTGTGTCTATATCTGTACCTGTGTGTGTATCTGTATGTGTATCTGTGTATGTGTGTGTGAGTACCTGTGTGTGTGTGTGTATCTGTGTCTATATCTGTACCTGTGTGTGTATCTGTATGTGTACCTGTGTGTGTGTATCTGTGTCTACATCTGTATCTGCGTGTGTGTATCTGTGTGTGTATCTGTATGTGTGTGTGTGTATCTGTGTGTGTATCTGTGTATCTGTGTCTACATCTGTATCTGCGTGTGTGTATCTGTGTCTATATCTGTATGTGTGTGTGTATCTGTGTGTGTGTGTATCTGTGTCTATATCTGTGTGTGTGTATCTGTGTGTGTGTGTATCTGCGTGTGTATGTGTACCTGTGTGTGTGTGTGTGTATGTGTGTGTATGTGTACCTGTGTGTGTGTATCTGTGTGTGTATGTGTATCTGTGTGTGTGTGTACCTTTGTGTGTGTATGTGTGTGTGTGTATCTGCGTGTCTGTAGGTGAAACCGCAGTGGCTGGAGCCCCTTGGTGTCGTCATTTCCCAGATCAACGCCAAGTTCAGCTCCTACTTGAAAACCCTCAACTGTGCCGGAGAGGTGGACCTCTTCACTGACAACGAGGTGATGGAACATCATCAACATCGTCACCATCAATATCACCATCATCAACATTATCGCCATCAACATCGTAATCACAGTCTTTATTATTCAGTCGTCATCGTCGTCATCATCACAGGCTGTGCCGGTAGAGGTGGACCTCTTCACTTACAACGAGGTGATGGGACATCATCAACATCGTCACCATCAATATCATCACCATCAACATCATCAACATCGTAATCACAGTCTTTATTATTCAGTCATCGTCATCATCATCACAGGCTGTGCCGGGAGAGGTGGACCTCTTCACTGACAACGAGGTGATGGGACATCATCAACATCGTCACCATCAATATCATCACCATCAACATCATCAACATCATCAACATCGTAATCACAGTCTTCATTATTCAGTCATCGTCATCATCGTCACAGGCTGTGCCGGTAGAGGTGGACCTCTTCACT